CCCTCAAGAGTGGCAGTTTGATCTTGCAAGTGGCCCATTGTCCCATTGTTACTGCATTGTTTTTTTTTCTCACCTCATCTTACCAGACTGCATTGGATCTCATAATAGCCCAATATTTAGCAAAAACGACCAATTACCAGTCTCACTTGCGCTATCCAAATACCCATTAAACAATGCCAACGATCCAGTCCCGATCCTCGATCTCCAACACAATCATACCACATCTGATCAAGACTCAGCAAATATTACAATGTATTATTGAACCATTTTATCTATTTCATAATGTGTAGGGCGTCACTCGAGTTTTTCAGATCCGCGCCACGCTATCGCGAAGATCTGAACGGGTGTATCTTTGATATCCTTGTGAGTGCTCCCATGATGACCGGATATCTATTGATAAATTTAAATCATCAGCCCAGATGCGGGTAGTACATACGCAATGGTTCGCCGGTATTTATCCTTTCAAGGACCTTGAATCGCCGATCTTGACTTGAAATCTATAAAATGATTTTCAAATTAAATTTGGGCGTGATATTGGAGAGAAGCTTGCAGTGTCCTCTCTTTAACCCTCCATGACAGGCTTGGGTGTTTGTGGGCCAAGCCTTATGCCACTTGATCGCCACGTCAAATTCACTGTTCACACGAAGTCAACCACGATCCGTCTCCTGAGTCCCCTTTATCCTCAATTTCAACCAAACATATCGATAAAGATCTATCGCCAAAAAGCTAATCTCATTTTTCTTGTGTACTATATGCAACTTTGTGGCACACCATCGGGAAGTGACTATATGGTTCACGTGATTTTCATGCTTCTGACGCGACGCGACACCCACGCGTATTCCTTTTTTTTTTTTCATCTTGTACCACCCCATTTCACAAATTTAGCACCGAGATACTTACACCGTTATGTGTTGTCAAAGGAATGCTCGTTTCACAAGTTGTCCCGCTGTTCTGCTCTTCGCGCTGTAGGTTCTTGCGAATTGCTTCCCGTGGTTTCTGACATTCATAGCACAGGCGGCCACTTTGAAACCTTTCGAAATGTGGCTTCTGAACAAAGAGTTTCTGTGCATGGAAAAGTTCTATTGTGGCGCATATATCGCATGATTCAGCTCATATGGAATGACGATCTGCAATACAAGTCGGCATCTTGTCCGTGACCTAGACACAAGAATTTCAAGCATCCTCGTATATGGGCGGATGAATTCTTCTACGCGTTCGACAACTCCCTTCGCCATCCATACTTCCTGACTTTCTCTGCTCAATGCCCTGGCCGAGATTGGGCCGAGACCGATCAGGGTCGGTCACATGACTGCCAACAGTGATCAGAATTGACTACGGTGCGCATCAGTGAAGACTACGACGCCAGGATGGACAAGTTCGCAACGCTTGAACCCGTTCGTCTATATGCCTCGTCTGGTGCCCGCCTCCTCACACGCAGCGGCACTGTGACCAAGAATTCCGCTGCACCTCCACTTATTGGGCGATTACCTGCAGACTTACACCAGCTCATTCTCTCTTCTCTCTCAATCGCCGATGTTCCTGCATACGCCCGCTCTTCGAGAGCACTTAACTCACTGGTGAAGGAAGATAAATTCTGGGAAGCCCGATGGCTTGCACTAGGTATAGAGAAACATGGGTTCGCGATCGTGCTGGACACGCTGGAGAATGTACAGAAGGACCAGGCTGAAGCAACGACGCGTTCCTCACTGTCACCAACAATATCAATGGTCAATGATCTTGACGAATTTGGTGATTTCGCTACGGCAGAGCCAGTTCCCGAGTTTGGAATGCCCGCACCACTTTCGCTATCATTTGCGGCAGCACCATCAAAGCGGTCGACGTACATTAGAGCGCACACATTACTAAAGCCCCTCGCTTTGGCGTTGGGCTCGACAGCCCCACACTTAATCCTCTCCACTCTCGCCTCTTTCTTCACAAATCCCAAGAGCCCTCTCACATCTCCCAGCCCCCAAGGTCAAACAAGTGACCTGCCGCTACGAACCCGAGCCAAAGTGCTACGTCTGCTCGCCTCCTTCCTCTCACCGGCCATCCAACCATTCCGATCATGGCCCTCACTTCGGCAAGCTCTGCAGGCCGCAACTGATCGCTTCGACGCGGGGCTGCTTGCCGCATTCGATAGTGCCGACGGACGTGGTGATGAAGCGGGCATGCGTGAGGCTGCTGAATCTAGCTGGGAAGTGTGGTCAGGAAGTGCAGCGGAGTGGGAGATGGGCAAGATGTGGGCCGAAAAACGCGAGATTTTCTACCTGCAAGGGCAATGGGACCCATTAGCCAACTTCACGTGAGTCTGAAACTCTGGGATTCAGCCCTCCTCTGAAGCTTAGCAGGGCCGATGGTACATTAGATTTCGACGCGATGGACGAATTCATGGGAGCCGTCCTGAAGTCTGTTGAAGAACATGGAGCACGAGCTGTTCGTGTATTTCCCCCAGCATCTCAAGTGTTGCTAGGGTTTGCGGATCGCGTCGCTCACGAAGTCGTAGGTCCAACCGTTCTATGCCATGTCAACTATTCACTCCTGCAATAGGTCGGAGAATACATTACATCGCTCCTCACTCGGGCCCGCGCAGACCCCTCCTCCGCCGTATTTCTACAAGCAACCGCTGCATCGTTCAAAGAATCATGGCGCATAGTTGATGCCCTCCTCCAAGCCGCCAAAGCGCGGACTGAGGACAATACATCGCCTGGCGACATTGTTACGCTTATGAGGGCCGAAGACGTAGTGTAAGTGGAACCACCATGCAGGGACAAACCCTCTCATTGGCCGTAGATATCAGATGTTCGAGAGCAACATGGATGAATACCTTGACGAGGAAATTGAGTCTGTCAAGAATATCTTCAATACGATATGTAAAAACTGGGATCGCGAGGTTCGAGCCTATCGTTCTTTTCTCCAAGCTGACGAACTCATCCCTCTAATTCAGCTTTCTACTTATGGCCCTGCTCCCTCTATTAACGGTTCAGCCTCCTCATCCGTTGGAAGCACCACCCAACAGCCCCAACAACACACCGCACAACCACGCTTCCTGTCCTCGCACAATCCGGCTCAGGTCAAGCGGAACGTCCTCGCCTCCTTCACCTCCGTCCTCCTTCTCCCCGTAACCATTGTGCCCCGTACGGTTGGTGCAGTCGGCGGCGCGATTGTGAGCGGTGGTACTGCGGCCGTGCAGGGCATCTCAATGCTTAACCCCGCGCGTTGGGGAGGCAGTGGAAGTGAAGTCAATGGGAAATATAGTGGAGGCGTGAGTAAGAGTGGCTGGGGTGCAGGTGCAGGTGGGAGTTTGGCTGCAAATGGGAACGTGTATAAATCGGCAGAGATGGGGGGGAGTACTGTGTTTGAGGTTGGAGGTATTGATGAGGAAGAAGAAGAGAAGCAGGTGGTGGAAGAGAAGGCTGATCCTGACCCATGGGCAAGGAGTGCGAATGGTGGGCTTGTTGTCGTCCTTCTTGAGCCCCGATGTCAATCTTACATTCTGTGTCGTCTGCTAGGCTCTCGGACTTCTCTTGCTCCGACAGTGTCTTCAACTGCAACGGCACAATCCCAACAGCCGGCCGCGTCATCAAACACAGCAGCAGAGAACAAGCTGGAGCTCCTGCTTTCCCTTGACGTCGCGCTTGAGGTGATCCACGCTGATCGCGATTCGCTCAAGCGTGTCGAAACATTCGCGGGGTATCCTGGGCACTACGGGCACCGTGTTCGGGATACTATCGAGGAGATATTCATACTCATGCTTGGGGCAATCGGGGAGGAGCATCTCCGCAAAGGCTTTGCAAGGTATGGGTGTTGTATACTGAATTGCAGGGGAGGAACTGATCTAGGCTTGTATTAGAGCAACGGAACAGATGCGGGAATACAAGCCTGCCGAACACGAGGGGACGACGAGTGTTGCACCACTGCTACAGTTCTTTGAGCTTGTGCATGTTGGTGACACGATTCAGTCAATGGTACAGGTGTACTTCGACAAGGAGCTGGTGAACCTTTTTCGTACTGGGAGGCGAATGTCATCTAATAAGACGTGATAGGCTCACCACATTGACCGCACGGATTTCCTCAACGCAGTTGTGCGCGAGAAGAAGCGGTTTGAGAACGCTTTGGATGACTCTGTGGCGGGTGGGCTGAACGCCGGAACGGAGGTGCTCATGAACCAGGTATGTGCCGTCGGCCTCGATGCTCTACCTTCGAACACACGCCTTGGCTGGAATGTAGGTGGAACACATTATATTAACCTTAACGGGGCCTCGTGAGTACTATCCCGAGGACGGTCCCTTGGATCTGGGGCCTACCAAAGGGTGCGCTGAGGCGATTAAGTGCCTTGACATGCACTGCAAGCTCCTCAAGGGTAGCACGAGCAGAGAGGTGCTCGAGGTCTTCTACCAGGAGGTTGGTATTCGCCTCATAGCGTGCGTTCTCCTTCGAGTTGTTCTTGCGGGCGATGAAGCCTGATCATTCTCAAACGCAGGATCCTGCAAAAACACATCAAGCGTCAGATCATCTCGCTCAATGGCGGCTTCCGCGTCATTGCAGATCTCAACAACTACCACTCCTTCATCTCGTCCCTCAAGGTTTGTCTTCACAATACACCTGTCAGCTGGCTTTTGAATTCTGCTAGGTCCCGTCAATTGTCTCGGACTTTTCACACCTCAAGATGTTGGGTCACGTCTATGTCGTTGAAGATGCAAAGGACCTGGCACAAATCGTACGTGATGTTACCCGGTACGGTGGGGCTTATAGACCAGAAGTAAGATCCATTTCGGCCCACCATCTGTGCTTGTGAGGCTAATATAGATATTAAAAGGACATATACGAGTTTATCCAGCGTCGCTCTGATTGGAAGAAGATTGAAAAGACAGTAGATAAGACGATGTATAACTTGAGCTTTAAAGAGGACTGTGTTGTCTGTTGATTTAGAGTTGGGATGGTGTCGTACTCTGACCAGGTGATATTGGCTCCAGAATTGTCTCTTGTCGGATACATGGTATGGCGCTGTAGTGTAGCGGTTATCACTCGAGATTCTGATTCTCGTAACCCAGGTTCGAGTCCTGGCAGTGCCTTAGCTGTTGGTATTAGCGGTTGCATTTTTGATCAATTCCAAATATTTGGACCTACGTTGTCAACATGGCTCCTCCTGCCAAAAAGTTGAAGTCTGCCGTACTAGATGCCTTAGATTCAATGCCTTCTTTGCAATATGACCCCAATATCG